AATAGCAGGGGTCAGAACAAAGAGGACCCGAAAGGCCAGGTATTTGCTTTATTGGTGATTGTGTTTCAGCTCTGTGTGCTTTATGTTTCTCCTGTTGTACGATCAGTGTCTGAGTTGGTGATCTCTAAGCAGACGTGGAACCGTGAAATAGCATATCTCAAATTGCAGTCCAAGTTAGGAAAAAAACACACGAGGGATTTGAAATAAAAGATTTCCAAGATTCTCAAAATTCTAGGACTTTTTATTAAGTCTTGAATATACATTGAGTTGACACCTTCACAAACACAAACCCCTTTAGATTAGGAAATGACGTGGGAACGACGTTACACATTAAAAAAATCGGTCATTATATATTTATTAAAATCCTGAGGAAAACTTCAGATTTATCTAGAGCATTTTAGTATCTTACGTTCCTTTTGTATAATGCAGTGAAAATATCCATTTTGTTAGTATTATGTAATTAAAACATAACTTCTATTAAATTTTAAGTCTCTAAGTGATAGAGTTTTTAAAAAAAAATATATTACATAGTTATTTTTTAAATATCCTCCTCCAGTGAGCAGATTTGACCTAGGCATTTGGAAAACTTGGCTCAGGTTGTTTTGTCCTGATAATTAACATTAATCTTTAAATAACTCTTTTGGCTTCAACATGGGGGAAGTTTATTAAAAGGGAAATGTCATTTGCTCTCTTTTAATGAATAAAACAAAACATAATAGCTGCCAAATTTTGTAGTATGTGCACAAAGATACTATATTATAGGGAATAGCCTGTGTTTTAGCAATGTATGATGTCCTACTGTTTTATTACTATTGAGTATGTGACAGTGACCGTCATTGCAAATATTTTAAATTTAAAACAATTTACGCCCTGCGGATAGATTATTGTGCAATAGCCATTTCTTTCTAAATGACGGTTAATGGATTTATCCTTTGAATACTATGTTTAGCATAATATAGCAGAACTAAAAGTAATGATCAAAAGACCAAGGTTAGCATGTGACGTTTCCTAAAGGCTTGAAATAACTTGGCGTTATGTATTAATAACATTCAGAAAACATAGTCATGCCTTAACATATTAATCTGCTTATATATTTCAGCTGAGGTGGTGATTTTTACTTTTGGCCGTCTTATAGAAAAGCTTTTTGAAAAGTTAACTTTCTCACATCAGCTGAAGTCTTTAAAAAATCTGATTAGTATTTTATAGAGAATACTTTCTTGCCTCTTTTGAATAATATAGGCTAATCATAGGCAGTAGCTTCATATATTGTTGGAAGAAGTGTAATTACAAAAATTAACTTGTCATACACCACAGCTCAGCAAAGTAACTTTCTTATAAGTCCATGGTCACAGTATGTTTTTGCAATTCAGCATCTGGCTCTGTGGGATATCGATGGCTTCTATGAAGAAAAGTACCAGGGTGAGCAATTAAATGCAAAATGACAGCATAAAATATGATCATTATGGTTATACAAAAGACGCATTTATGAATTTTGCAGATAACTGTCATTTTTCTGCTCATATTTTTCTGTTGCTTTGTTAGCTTAATAATTTTAGTACAATTTATTTTTTTCTTCTAAAAAATGAACACTGCCATTTTTATTATCCTGGCACTTGTTTATATGTCTTTTTTGTTTGTCAGTTTTGAAGATTAATGATAGTTGTTTCACTGTCTTTTGACACAATACTTTCAACTTGATTTCAAAATTGAAGAATTTAAAAAAATTGCATAGCAGTTGTATTATAAGAGTACCACTTCTTATGATGAGTAGTATTTTATCACGTGTGGTTTGGATAATAATCACCACCCGAAAGTAAGTTTTGCCAGTAGTTTCCTCGTAACATCACGTAGTGTTTTGAAGTATTTTTTATGGTATCAACTCTCTGATTTGGTCCAGGGTAAAACAGTGTTGACATGAGGAATCATATAGCAAAGTTGTTGTCTTTCTTTTGTCTCTTACTTGCAAAATGTATTCTACATGCAATGAAACTGCTGGACGTTGCGGAGAGGGAGTCACTCTGGAGGACTAAGTGTCCGTGTGACCTTTGGAGCATGCCATTGTGTGAAGCTCCGTAATGTTAACCTCCATTTTGTTAAGTTCCATTATGTTAACCCCTCTTGGCTCCTCTGCAGCCCTGCCTGTCTTTCCAGCCTTACCTTTCACTGCTGCCATTTTTGAAAACCTATGTGTTACCCAGTTGCTCTCGTTTTCTTTTACTTGTGCTTATAGTATCCCTGTCTCCCGAAATACAGTAGTCCCCCCTTATGTGGGGGGATACGTTCTAAGACTCCCAGTGGGTGCTTGAAACTGCATAGTACTGAAGCCTGCATATACGTTTTTTCCGACATGTACACTGCTGTGATAAACTTAGAAATTGGGCAAAGTAAGAGAGTAACAGCAATAACTTCTGTTTGGCATATCCAGATTTCCAGCACGACTGCTCTTACACGTTGGGGAAATTATTAAATAAAATACGGGTGACTTGAACACCAGCACTGTGATACCTTGACAGGCGCTCTGATAACCAAGAGGGCTACTGAGTGACTGACAGGCGGGTATCGTGGATCCGGTGGAGAAAGGGATGATTCACGGCCCCGGTGAGAGGGAGCTAGATGGCACAAGATTTCATCACGCTACCTAGAATGGCGAGAAATTTAAAATTTGTGTATTGTTTATTTCTGGAATTTTCCATCGAATATTTTTAGACCTCTGCTGACTATAAGTAAGTGAAATTGCAGAAAGTGAAACCACAGGTAAGGGGGGACCATTGTACTTTTTTTAGCCATTTGGTTAAATTCATCCTGAGCTTGAATGTGTGGTTGGAACTCTGTCCATTCTGTGAAGACTTTCTAATCTTAGCAGTCAACAGGAACTTCTTACTTTATGCTCTTGTGGCATATTTTGGGTGTCTGTTGTTATTATCAAAATATGCTTTGCAGATAGAGCATAGCTTAAGTTTTTTTTAATAAGTTTAAAAAAATCGTATTTACTGAAATCCTACTATATGCTGAGTACTGTGCTGGGTTCTGGGATGCTAGTGAAAGAGTTTATTTCTTCTGCTCAAGAAGGTCACATGCCAGTTGTAACGCAGAGTAGTAAGAACTGTGGTGGGGGCAGATGGGAATGTGCAGGCAGAGGGCTAATCCAGTGTCAGGGTTGGCAGTCTGGTTCTTGGAGGAGGCAGCAAGCCTGAGGCCTGAGGACAGCAGAGCACAGCCATGGAGCACGCGCAGGCCTTGCCCACCAGCCATAACTGCTTAGATGGCTTGGTGGATGGACCTGAATCATTGGGGACTTATGTCTCATGATGTTCTTGTTTTTTGTTTTTTTTTTTTAAATTTAATCATTTTCGTGAGAACCTTTGAAAAAATTAATTTCCTAGTTTTCAACTTTTGGAACCTCTCCATAACCTGATTTAATATTGTCTCAGTGACTTAGGATTATTATTTTGTGCGTTGTCATGTTGGGCTCTAAGAAATCATGTCCTCTGGGCATTTTGACCCAGAGAAGGGTGTTTTTAAATATCTGAATGTTCCCTGATTACTTTTAATTTTTTCTGTCTGCTTTTTCTAGTTTTTCTTCCCTTTTCCCGTTTCACTGCTATCAGTGATCTTGTCTAGAGTAGCACAATTGCTCTCCATTATTTGCCATCGATAAGAAGCCAATGAATCAGGTTTATCAGTAAGTATCAGGAAGGGGTGATGGATCTGAGGAAGGAACTTAGAGACTCACCTTCAATCCCAGTACCTAAATTCAAACATCATCTCTTCAAATATGTTTTGCCGCTCCAAGCCCTTTTGGGCAGGTTTCTTACTTTTAGCTAAGGCTTGGTGGGTGATGTTGCTGCCTTGGTGAGTTTTTGATAGCTGAGGTGTTCGTGTTTCCCTGCATCACGATTCAGGTCATTTTGTTTTCGTTGCTCTCCTGATGTGGTCTAACTGTTTTGTCTGATTTCAGGAATGCTTTTAAATGGTTTATGTTTTAAGAATTAATAGACAAGGCTTATATTATCCATTTGTTCTTATATAACTTACTTCAATTATAGTATCAAAGCAGGCATTTTTTATTGTGATCAATTTTGAAGAAATTAGGTATATCAGTTTTATTTATTCATTATTAATTTCGTTAATAATCAAGTTCATGAATGATGAGTTTAGGAATCAGTGACACCCTCTGAATTAATTGCTTTGTTTATTTGGCAGTAAAGCAAAACTAGGACAGTATTATACATTTGCGATATGTTTCTATATTTAGATAGAGAGAGGTACTATCTGTTGTTATTAATGTTACTGTTATCTTTACCTTTTAAAAACAAATATATATACTAACAAACATGTCTGTGTGTGACTGAGAGAGAGAGTGTGTAAGTGTGTGTTTTTGTGTGTGTCCATACATATCTTTTAGCATTTCCAAATTGGCCCAGGTGATTCTAATCTAACCTTTCTGGTCAGAATTTTAAGTATGTAAAAATTCTGTATGAAAATGGTAATAAAAACGCAGTCATTCAGTTTCATAGTGCAATTACTTATTGTGACAATTCTTGTTCAGGAGGAGTCTGTTTCCACCAGCATTGTTTTGGACAGGGAGATGGCAAGTGTAGACTATACTCTTGAGTCTGTTAGGGAGTGACGCTTTTTCTACTGTAGTGCTGTAATAGCTTTACATTTTGTGATTCTGTGGGCTACGCAGACGTGATGTGTTCAAGATGAATCAGACGATAAAATTGACTTGTTTTCCATCTGATAGCTGGTACTGCTTTCAGCAGTAAAACTGAATTATTTCTACAGATCGAAAAACAATCTATGAGATATGAGGTCATTTTCCTTATATAGCCATAGTTAAATGATTTGTTTCTATGACTGGTTTTTATAGTATAACCTGTTAAGGTTTTATCCCCTTATGCTCAAGACAGATTTAAGACTTAAAACAGACAAATTAGAAGAAACAAAACTAGAGATTTTTTAAAAAGTGTAACTTGTTTACAGAGTTTCCTCACCATTTAAATTTTATTCTTTCCTTTTCAACAGGTGTATAATGCTTATTTGCTTTAAAACCCTTGTTCATTCACTCACTTATTCTTTTGTTTATTTTTTTGCTCAAAAACTTTATTGCAGAATAGTTTACATACAATAAACAGCATCTATATAAAGTGCACAATTTGATGGGTTTTGACAGTTCTATACACCTCTGAAGCCATCTACAGAATCAAGATAAAAGAACATTTCTCTTACCCCCTTAAGTATCCCCATGCCTCTTTGCAGCCCACCACCTCTTCCTGCCTGCCACAGGGAACCCGTGACCTGTTTTCTGTCACTGTAAATTAATTTGCTATATCTTGTCGTATGTGCTGTTGTCTGAGTCTTTGTGTGAACACGTGTTTTCATTTCTCTTGGGTAATTACCTAGGAGGGAAATGACTGGGGTAATGTGATGACTCTGTGTTTAACTTTTTAAGAAACTGCCATCGAGTCTTCTTTAATTTCTCTCAGTCGTGTTCTCTAGTCTTTAGTGCATAGGCCTTGCACATTTTTTGGTTAAATTTATTTTTGCACAATTTTAAATCAAATCGCATGCTGTTAATATTTAAAAGTGCAATTGATTTTTGTTTATTATCCTTTGAATTTCCTAAATTCATTTAATTGTTCTAGTGTGGGCGTGTGTGTGTGTATGTGTGTATTTTGCATCCTGAGGATTTTCTATGTAAACGAGAATGGAAGTAGTTTTACTTGTATTTATCCGGTATTTATGCCTTCACTTCTTTGTTCCTCTTCACTTTTAGTAAGTCTTCTTCCTAAAATCTGTTCTTAGATCTGGCATTCATCTACCCACTGTGGCTGTCCTGTGTTACAGATTGCATGAGAGTATCATTTCCAGGTTTTATATTTTGAATATTTTTGTCTCTGAATGTAATTGTGTCTTTTATGCTTAGCACATAGTTTTGATCTTTTAATACAATCTGATAATTCTTTTTAACTGTAGTGTTTATTAACATTTAATGTAATGTAGTTGGTTGGATTTATACTATTTTGCTCTTTATTATTCTGCGTCTCCTGTGTTTTCTTTGTCTGTTCCTCCTTTACTGCCTTATTCTGTGTTGACATGAATTCTGTCATCTTCTATTTATCTGGGAATGTCTTTACTGCCCCTTCATTATTAAAGTATAGTTTTGCTGGATATGTGATTCTTTATTGATGGTTTTTCTTTCAGCACTTTGACTGTATTATTATTCTGGCTTTCGGCCTCTGTTATTTCTTCTAAGTCAGCTCTTATTTGTATTTTTTTCTCCTCAGTGTGATGCAAAGTCACCTGTTGAACATGTAGCTGTTCCTTGTATGTGGTGGATTTGATTGCTTTCCAGATTTTCTTATTGTCTTTTTCTTTTTAGTAATTTGACTATGATGTTTGTAGGTGTGACTCTCTTCGTGTTTGTACTTATTCATGTTTGTTAAGCTTCTTGTATCTGTAGATCAATGTATTTCATCAAATTTAGAAAGTTTTCAGCTATTACGTTTTAAAATATTTCTTCTACCCCTTTCCCTCTTTTCTCTGTTATTGGGATTCTTACTGCACATTTGTTGAAATACTTCAAATTGTCCCATAGGTCTCTGAAGCTCTTTTCATTTTCCTTAAAGTTTTCTTTCATTTCCAATCTTCTGAGTCGATAATTAATATCATTCTATCTTTAATTTGACTGATTCTTTCCTCTGCCTTCTCAAATCTGCTGTTTTCCCATGTAATAATTTTTTCATTTCTCTTATAGTGCTTTTCATCTCTAGCATTTGTTTGGTTGTTTTTATCATTCTCATTTCCTTATTCGCATTCCCTATTTGTGGAATCACTGTTATTATATTTTTAAAAAATTTTTGAAAATTTGAAAGAGTTCTTAGAACCTCTTTACAGGAGATACTTGAAGACTTTCTCTGCTACATTGACATCTGGGCCAATTTTCCATTGACGTTTTTCTCTTCCTGAATCTGGACCATAGTTTATATTTTCTTATAAACACAGCTTATGATTTCTTTCTTTGTTGTTGTTGAAAATAAGACATTTTGTATAGTGTGATGTGGTAAGTTTGGATTTTGATGCACTTTTCTAGAATGTCTTTTTTTCCCTTAACTTGCATGGTCTTAAAAGCATAGAATTTTATCTCCCTGTGGTGTACAGACACTGATGTTTATGTTCAGTTTTTAAATGCTTGCTTACTTGTATTTTGCTTTACTCTCTGGGTGTTTCCCCTGTAAATGTAAGAATTAATGGTCACACAATGATTTGGGCAGAATTTGTAGTCAAACACCTTGAGCCCATTATGATCTTTGCCATCTGTCTTTCTGTTTGTGGGTGTACAGGGGGCACATTCAAAGTTTACCTAGTTACCAAGCCTCTGTTCTGGGGCTTTTACTGTCTACCACGTTCCCTCGAAGTTGCTTTGCTTAGTCAACCAGGCATGTGTGGGGAACTTCATCTGGTCCTTTTATTGGCCTTTCATTTATAGGATCTCCTTGCTGAGTTTCTTGCTAGTCTGACAGTTGCCCAGACTGGGCTCATACCTCTGTGGACCAATGTTGTGAGATTTCTTTGGTTGCTTCCCACCAACTTTGGTCCCTTCTGGCTGACAGAGCGATAGAGGTTTGCTGCCTGCTCCAAATAGCTTCCTCCCTCCACCACCTTAGCTCATAGCTCCTCTTTTTGTGCCAGTCATGTGTTGGTAGAGCTAGCATGCTCTCTCACCAAGTCGCGGGGATGGTAGTCTCCCAGGCAAGTGCTCCTTTCTCAGCCTCTTACCTAGGGCTTTGGATAAAGTGCATTTTCCACTCGTTGCCTGAATATGGTTTTCAGAATCATAAAATTGTTGCTTTTGACAGTCCTATGCAGTTTTATACTTGTATCTGCTGAGAAGGTTCACTGACTTCTTTATTTTGCCAAAGCTGGATATTCCTGAGTAAGCCGTTGTTTCTTCAGAAGTGTCTTCTGCTCCGTTTTCTTTCTCTCTCTCTCTTTTCCTCTGGGACTCTAGCTAATTAGTTATACATTAGACCTTTTGTAGTCCTCAGATAGGACCCTGAGAGTCTCTTTTCTTTTTTAAATTTATTTTTTATTTATTTTTCTGAGGAAGAGTGGCCCTGAGCTAATGTCTGTGCCATTCTTTCTCTATTGTGTATGTGGGATGCTGCCACAGCATGGCTTGATGATGGTGTTGTAAGTCCTCATGCGGGGTCTGAACTCATGAACCCTGAGCCGCTGAAGCAGAGTCCGTGAACTTAACCCCTACACCACCAGGCTGGCCCCTCTTTACTTTTTTTTTTAATTCTGTCTTTTTCCTTAGATTCTTTTTGTTAGATGATTGCTGTTGATCTGTCCTCAAACTCACTGATTCTTTACTTTGTCATTTCCATTTTGTTATTAAGCCCCTTTTTTTATTCTAAATATTTTATCTTTTGTTTCTGACATTAACATGTGGCTTTTTAAAGAATAATGTTTATTTCTTTGCTGAAATTTATTATTTTTTTTTCCATTTGTTTCAAACATATTTTCTTTACTTCACTTAATATTGTTGTAACAGCTACTGTATGGTTCTTTTAAAATAATTCCATCATTTTGACCATCATGTTTGCCATACATCTTTTTGCTTGAGATTTGGACACGGTTTTCTGACTCTTCCTAACTCAAGTAATTTTGGTCATTTTGAATTTTATGTTGTGTGGTCTCTGGATTTTGTGTGTGTTGCTTTAAATATTGTTGGTGTTTTCATTTTAGCAGGCGGATGACTTGACTACGACCACATCGTTATCTGTCATGTCTGCAGTAGTCAGCCACTCCTATCTCATTCCTGGTGTTTAATTGCAATCTGCTTTCACTCTTGTTCATACATGGTTTATGTTTTCTGGGTTTATTCATAGATTCAGGTGTTCCTTTAGCTCTCTCCTTTATGGTATTTACTTCTTACTCTTCTGTGGCTATCATTGCATTCGGACACTTTCCCGCTGATCCAGAAGTACAACTGGTTTTTCCCTTGTGATTTAGCTGCCTGTCTTTCGTCAGTGGTCTCCGACCCTGGATATCCTCTGGGTAAAGCCTCCCAAAAGGGGAGGCGTGCTGGATTACCTTTTGCCATTTGCTTGCTTTGGGCCTTGACTCCACACTAAAAACTTCCAGCTTTTGTTTAGTCTCCAGAGCCATCGCATAGTTATTTTTTTAGTATTTTATCCAGACTTCGTAGCTGTTATTTGTGAAAGGTTTGGTTTGTTAGAAGCTTAGTATTTTGTACCAGAAGTATATGAAGTGAAAGAAAAAAAAACCAAACCTCTTTTTTTTTTTTTTCCAAATTGAGGAAGATCAGCCCTGAGCTAACATCTGCTGCCAATCCTCCTCTTTGTGCTGAGGAAGACTGGCCCTGAGCTAACATCTGTGCCCATCTTCCTCCACTTTATATGTGGGACACCTACCACAGCATGGCTTTTGCCAAGCGGTGCCATATTTGCACCCATGATCCAAACTGGCAAACCCTGGGCCGCCAAAGCAGAACGTGCACAGTTAACTGCTGCACCACCGGGCCAGCCCCCAAACCTCTTTAAAAATAGTTCTAAATTTTGTTGTCAAGGCATTATATGCTCGTTGTAGGAAATTGAGAGGAATTAATAAATTCTAATGAATCTGAAAAAAAATTACCCATATCCACTTTAATATTTTGATTTTTTGGGGGGTATTACACAACTGAATGTGCTATGCATAATATTTTAAAATCTGCTTTTGGTTAAAATCATGTGAGAAGTGTTTTTCTTTGTCATTAGATATTCTTGGTAGATATTTTTATGGCAGTATAATACTTCGTATGCATGCATATGTTGGTTTATATGACCATTTTTTAATGCTTGTTACGTTGGTTGTTCAGTTTTTTACTTTTATATATGACCCTGTGGTGGACATCTTTTTGTATACATCATTGCAACCTTTTCGTATTATTTTCTTAGGACAGGCCCCTAGAAGTAGACATACTGGGTTTCAAAGTGAATGATGAGGTTTTAAAGTTGTTCTTAGATACAACTGAATTGCTTTTCAGAAAGTCTGACCCATTTGACACTTGTGAGTGCTGTCCAGCTTACTGCACCTTCTAACCATTAGCATTAGATTTTTGGTATTTTCTCATTTAATGGATGGAAACTCTCATAATCTGCTTTTGGCAGTTTTTGATGAACTATTTTGGCCAAACTTCTTTATCTAATTTTTAAAAATTTACATCTCTCTGTTTTAAAATGATCCATTCATGTTCTATGCCTATTAAATGTATGTTTCAGTCTATTGTTTAAATAACTGCTTTTAAAACTATTTTAATGGTAGATGAGACAGAACCTAATTTTGTACCTGTAATACTATTAACTATGAAAACAGTTTTTTAGTATATCATTTCTTTTTGACTATCTCTTTGAATATCTTCATGTTTGCGTCTCCCCTTCCTTAGATTGACTCCTTCGGCTTTCCGTTTTCCTCTTGGGGAGGGGTGGGACTTCCGGTTTCATCTCCGGAAGACGACGAGCCGGAGGAGTCAGTCAGAGGGGCCAGCAGGAGCGATTCCGTCGGCAAACGGGTAAGTTATTCTCTGGCCGGGCCTGGGGGGAGGTTTGGAGGCGGGGACCGTCCAGCGTCTGCGCGGGGCCTGGGGGCGGTGGCTTGAGGGCTCGGGCCGGGCAGCTGGGCGCCGGGAGTCCCGCCAGGGCCCTAGGCTCTTCCTCCTCCCTCCTCCCCCGCCTCCGCCCCTCCCCCGCTCGCCGGTCCCTCCCGGCGCCGCCCCGACTCGCCCGACACCCGCCCGCCGCCTGCGCTGCGTCGCAGCCGCCCTGCCCCCGCCGTCACCTGCTCGCTCCGCGAGCCGGGCTCCCGGGGACCCGGCGGGCCTCCGTTTCCCCGCGGGCCCGGGCTGTCGGCTCGGGAGCGGCTCCCCGGGCGCCCCACGCAGCCCTGCACGCAGTCGGGGCGCTTCCGACCGCCTGGCTTCTCCGACTGGAACGCGGGCGCCCAGGCGGGGAGCTGCCCGGTGTGGGTTTCTAGTCCGGGCGGTGGTGTCCGTGGCTGCCCGCCCACTCCCTGTTTTCCCCAGCGCACCGATGCGCTGCTGCCACCCGCGCCTCCTTCGGTTGAGGATGCTGGTGCCCGAGAGCACCACGCCTGGAAGTGGACGGTCCTGGCCACTCAGGGTCCAGCTGCTCTCAGCAACTAGCGGGAGACCCCAGGCTGCCGCACGTCGCTGTTGGCAGCAGCGGGATCGTCCCTGGAGATACCCACCTCTTCCTAGTGGGCGAGCACGGCCTGAGTGTGCGTGCCCGCTTTCTGGAGCTTAGTCGGGGGGAGGTGGGTGCCAGGAGCTGCTGACCCCTGCGGTTGCGTTGAGTTTTGAATAGCCTGTTTATTGGGTTGGGGGGTTCTGGACTAGGACATCTTGGCAGGGTTGGCATCTGTGGACACATATGTAGGATTATTTTCTAGGTAATCATAGCCCGAATGGTGATTGTGTCGGGACTTTACAGTCCGTGCCGGTGGAACTAGTTACAGTACGCACCTGGTTTGCGGTGAAGCGTTAGTCCAGATGCAACACTGCCTGGGGAAGGTCACTAACACGTATTGATTAGAACATCGTTAGGAGAGCTCATTTGATGTATACTCTGTAGACTTCATGTAGCACGGCAGCCGTGTAGGGTCGGAAATACTAGTCCCTTTTCACAAACTGAGACTAAAGTTAAACAGTTTGACCAAAGTTAAGGTCAGGATTAGCGTCTCAAGTGTTTGTTACTCATTGTTTTTCAAGTTTGCTACATGTAAGGTTACTGACTCCTGCTGGCACGTCTGAAAAACACTGAGGCAAGGCTCTCTAGTAGCTGGTGTCTTCTTGCGTGACATGTAAGGCAGGTGTGATTATTACTGATAATACACTGGCTCCTGGTGCCTTTTTTAAAAAACCTGTGTATTTTGGAATAATCTCAGATTTGCAGAAAAGCTGTGAGATAGCACAGAGAGTTCCTCTTGTATTCAGCAAAGCAGAGTGGCTCCACTTGAGCAAACTGCTTCATGCCAGTCACCATTCTAGGTGCTGGAGAGAGTAACACGCTGCCCTAGATGATTCCAAGGTCTGGTGGAAGAGACAGATCCATAAGCAAGTATAGTGCCTTTTGCTCAGTGCTGAAATGGAGAAAGGGGAGCACAGAGTGATTTATGTCTGACTGCCGGGAAGGAGTGGCGCGAGCTTGCAGGATACAGCATTTGAGTTAGGTCTCAAGGATTAGTGGGTATTCACTTGATTGATGGGACATTTCTGCCCACATTCGTGCTACCTAGGTTTGTGTTCGAAGAGAACTCTCTAACCTTTATAAAACGGACTCTTCTTATTTGATTCTCCTCTCTCCCTCTTTCTCACATCTCCTCTGAGAGGTTTTTGTCATAGTTTCCACAGGCTGTGAGAAGAATCGCGGTTTATAAATCCATGACTAGGAGATGAAATTAAGCTGTGTTTCTTAGTAATGGAAGTATCTAGATCTGTACGTTTTAAAATTCTTTCTCTTTCATAGTTGCTGAGTACTTCAGTGGTCTGATCACACACATTCTTTATGCGAGGTTGGAGCACAGTTCTTCTGAACTATGCCCACAGCAGAGGGGTATTTTGAGTGAGTGTGTTGGTCGTTGTGGGCTGCTCTAGGAAAACACCATAACCCCAGGTGGCTGAAACAACAGTCATTTACTTCTCCCAGTTCTGGAGGTTAAGTCCAAGATCAAGGTGCTGATTCCTGGTGAGGGCTCTTCCTTGCTTACAGACAGCCACCTTCTTGCTGTGTCTTCACATGGCAGAGATGGAGAGAGAACTCTGGTCTCTCTTCGTCTTCTTCTAAAGACGCTGATCCCGTCTTGGAGACCCTACCGTTCTGACCTCATCTAAACCTAAGTACCTCTCAAAGACCTCATTTCCAAATACCATCACATTGGTGATTAGGGCTTCGGCATCAAAATTGGGTGTGTGTGTGTGTGTGTGTGTGTGTGTGTGTGTGTAGGGGGGGGTGCACAATTCAGTCTGTAGTAGGTGGGTTTCTTGGAATTTTTGTTATTATGAGGAATTGCTCCAAAATAGGCTTGATAGAGAACTAAATAGGAAACTGTAAAATTAGCGTTTATATGGCTTTTTGCTACAGCAAAGTAGTAAACACAATTTTATTTAAAATCAGAAGAAATTATTGTAGCTATGTTAAGTCTGATTCAGAGGCTGGTGGATGCCAAGAAGAAATTTTAATTGTTTCATTTGGATGAAAGAGAGAAATACGTGGTGAAATACTGCAGTGGTGTTTTCACTTTTAGGCCTTATACAAATGAATGCTTTCATGGTTATCAAATTAGGGTGTAAGGACTGTGGTAGTGAGCTATTGCAGTTCCCTCACTGATCAGGAGGCTGAGCCCCACAGAAGCTGAGCGGCTAATGCATTGTAGAGGTGTTAGTGGCAGAGCAAGGATTGGAATCAGGCCTCCGGATTCACGGGGCCAGTCTTTCTGCTGTTCCATCAGTGGTTCTCAAACTGATGGTGCATCAGAGTCAGCTGGGGGGGCTTGTGAAAACGCAGATGCTGGGCTGGGTCTCTGAATCAGCGGGTCTGGACTGGGACTGAGAATTTGCATTTCTGACAAGTTCCTGGGTGATGTTAAAGCTGCTGACTCTGAGGGCACACTTTGAGAACCCCGGCCTTCTGTGATGTTGCCTTTGACCTCTTCTAAGAGGATAGTAAGTAAACGTCTGTGGGTTTATACCAGCTTGACCCTTCCTTGACGTTCAGAGAATCAAGTTCTTTAATTTTGTGTTGTGTACTGTAATGCACCAACAACATAATGATTAGATGGAAAAAAAGTACTAGAAATGGAGTATGTTTTAGAGTCATTTTGGCATCTTCAGGGATAATTTTTGGAGATAATTGTAGAGGTCAGAACCGCTTATGCTGAAGGGGATGCACTTGAGCTCCTAGCAGCAATCACACTAAAAAGGGTGCCGGTATTGATTGCTAGATTGTATGGGAGTGAAAAGTTCCTTCCAGTTTTGTTACTCTCTGTTTTTCTTTCTCATTTTGTGTACTGAAATGTTCTTAATGTATCAAAATCTTATCAGGCCCCAGCACAGTTCCATGCCCATAGTAGATGTTAAATAAATATAAGTTGAATTGAATTAAAAAAGATTAATAGGGAAAATGAGGTAGATTATTTATCTGGAGAGACTTCAGTGCCCTAGGAAAGTTAGTCGGCTCTCTAGATTATCCCAATCACAGGTTTTTAGTGAATACTTACAGATTATTCTGGTTTACGCCTTATTTGCAATTACTGGGTTTTTTTTAGCACAATTATTGGAGGAGGTAGCATATTTTATTTTTCCTTTTTCTCCCCAAAGCCCCCCAGGACATAGTTGTAGATTCTTCGTTGTAGGTCCTTCTAGTTGTGGCATGTGGGACACCACCTCAGCGTGGTTTGGTGAGCAGTGCCATGTCCACGCCCAGGATTCGAAGCAACGAAACACTGGGCCACCTGCAGTGGAGCGCACGAACTTAACCGCTCACCCACAGGGCCAGCCCCGAGGAGGTAGCATATTTTTATGTAAGAGTTATTGAGTGATCCCCCATATCTCTTTATCATTCGTCTGAAGTTACTTTTACAAACTTTTTACTTTGAAATAATTTTAGAAGTAGAAAAAAATGGCAAAAATAGCCCGGAGAATTCGTATATACCTTACACCCAGCGTCCCTTTGTTAGCCTCTTATGTAACCATAGTGCGGTTATTGAAACCAGGCAGTTGATAGAGTTAATCTAAAGTCTTCTATTCGGGTTTCACCCCTGATGTCTTTTTTCTGGTCGAGGATCCAGTCCAGTAGCCCACACTGCATTTAGTTATGGTGTCTCCTTGGTGTCTTCCAATTTGTGACAGTTTTTTATCTTTCGTGACCTTGGTACTTTTCCAGAGTACCGGTCAGTTATTTTGCAGAATGTCCCTCAGTTTGGATTTATCTGGTGTTCTTTCATGATTAAATTGAGGGTAAGCATTTGTGACAAGAATACCACAGTGGTGAGGTTGTTCCCTTCTCAGTGCATCATATTGGCACATGTGTGATGTAGATAGGTCTTATCGCTGGTGAATGTTAACTTTTGATCTCTTGGTTGAGGTGTCTGACATGTTTCTGTGCTCCAAAGAAAAAAATTTTCCCTTTGTAATTAATGACTCTCGTAAGTTTACTGATTGTAGTGCAGATGTTTAAATGAAATGAATATAGAATGTCAGAATCCTTTGAGCCTGACCCTAATTATGAGATCTTTCTTATCTTGGAGGCTTCATTATTATTTGTTAGATCCCAACATAGTAGGGAAGGGTAAAGCTGTAGACTTGTAGAAGAACAGTTATTTGTTCAAGAACTTGTACCTGATCTTGGTCAGTCTTAGTCTTGAATTGTCAACAGCGGAGGCTCTTTGTTCCAATTCTTTTTCTGTGGTTTTGCGATCTGTCTCGCATCTGTCTTCCAGTGGATGACTTTCCATAACTACATTGCGTTTCTTAAGATTCTCCCTAGAGCATTTTTGTAGAAGATTTGTGTGCTTCAGTTCATCACAAGGCAGTTGCTCCAAGTATCCTCTTGTTGACCCACTTCCTAGTCCATACGGCTGAGTGTGTGTGTTCTCTTTGTAGACTATGCTGATGAGGTGCTGCAGATATTACATAGACACACAGACACATAGAAATGGTCTGTATTTTCAAAACGTATATCCCTTTAATATGCCAACAGGAGTCAGTTGGAAGATATGTATGTGGCCTGTCTCCCTCCCCCTCATCCCCCTCCAAAGCTTGTAAGCTCCTTAGAAGCAGGGAACAGATCTCTTTTTGTTTACCAGTCACTTGCTTGGTGCTTGGCATACACAAGGCTCTCCATAAATATTTGAGAATAAAAGAATATCATATGTGCATCTTGTTAACTGGTTTTAGAAATTACCAGACTATTGAAACATCTTTCCACATTAACACAGCTATGTAATCATCATAGTATTCCACTATAGTCATGCCTTGCTTAACAATGGGGATACGTTCTGAGAAATGTGTCAGTGATTTTATCATTGTGCAACATCATAAAGTGTACTTTCACAAACCTAGATGGTCGAGCTGTTGACACGAATAATCAATATCATTCTACAGCGGGGAGTTTTATTCGAGCCAAGCTGAGGACTGCAGCCTGGGAGTGCAGCCTTCGTAAGTGCTGTGAAGAAGAGTGATTTTTCAGCACCATTATATACCATTTCCAAACAGACATACATCAAGTGTGACAGGGGTACATTCTTTCAAGGGTTCAAGGAGATACTTTGTTATAGATGAGTACATACACAGTGGGTCAGCATGACCCCAGTGTCATGGGAAAGGACACTTACTTCAAAAAGTACTGGTGTCATAAGAAGAGAGGCATTGGTTCTTACCTTCAAAGAGTACATTCTGGGGCCGGCTCTGTGGCTGAGTGGCTAAGTTCGCGCACTCTGCTGCGGCGGCCCAGGGTTCGGATCCTGGGTGCGGACATGGCACCGCTCATCAGGCCACGTTGAGGCGGCTTCCCACATCCCACAACTAGAAGCGCCTGCAACTAAGATATACAACTGTGTGCGGGGGGGGGGGGGTTGGGAGATAAAGCAGAAAAAGAAATATTGAAAAAAAAAGAGTACATTCTTTATTTTGGGACAATATACAACGAACATTTGACAGGCTGTAAGTCAGGCTTCTTTGGTTTAAATAAAATTTAGTCCAAATCGCATTTAAACCAGAACGGCTTCCCCATACACCTCAATATATAAAATTTTCTTCTATCATAGCCTCCTACACATGTAGGCTCTGTGGTACTAATCTCATGGGATGGCCATCATCTACGTGATCTACTGTTGACTGAAACGTCCTTAGATGGCGCATGACCATATATGGATGTGCTGCAGCAGCTACGTCTGTAACCCATCCTGCGTTGTTGGAGATTAGGCTGTTTCCAATTTTTTCTATTAGAAAGAGTTCCATGGTGAATATTCCTAAATATGTATTTTGTTCAGTTGTTTCCTTAAGATAAGTTCTGTAAAGAGTCATTGATAGCTCAAAGAAGATATGTATTTTAAGGCTTTTGATATATTGCAAATAACCCTCTAGAAAGTTTGTATAGATTTATATTCCAGCCGTACTGTTGAGAATGCTCATTTTGCCACACTTTCCCCAATGCTCAACTTTCAGTTTTTTAGAATAAGACTAAATTTAGAGTTAAAAAATTTGTTTTTTGTTTTTACGATTTGCACCTTTGTTTTTCTTCTTCTTCTCCCCAAAGCTCCCCAGTGCATAGCTGTGTATTGTACTTGTAGGCCTTCCTGGTTGTGCTCTGTGGGACGCTGCCTCAGCATGGCCTGATGAGTGGTGCCATGGCCCTGCCTGCAGCCAGGATCCGAACTGGCAAAAGCTGGGGCTGCTGAAGCCGAGTGTGTAAACTTAACCACTTGGCCACAGGGCTGGCCTCTTTTTTTTTGTGTGTGGTATTTTTAAGGATTCTTCCTGGAGTATGGTGGGGTGGGGATCATAGTCTGACTAATTTGCTAATAACCCTCCAAGTTTTCCGTATGAAAATTATCCAGTGTTTGGTTTGCCTTGATGAGAGAGCAGAATAAACCTCAATAAGGTAGGGGTTAACAGGAATCATTATCCTCTCTGAAGTTATAGTTGGTCATATCTGTGGGCCTTAGCCAATAGGAAACTTCTTGAGAGTGGGATACATTTCTAATTCATATCATTCAGAAAAATCAACTACAGGTGAATTAAAGGCTTAAATACAGAAGGCAAAACTATGAAATTTTTGGAAGACAATGTAGGACAGTAATTGTGTGAGTCTAATACAAGGAAGAGCTTCTTAAACAGATCACAGAAGGTGTAGACCATAAAGGAAAAGATTGACCGCTTTGACAGCATTAATTTGACAGCTTGTGGTTATGAAAAGAAACCATCAAGAAAGTGAACAGACAAGTCACAAGTGAGAATAGATATTTTCAGTACGTATTATTGAGAAAGGATTGTATCTAGAAAGGTAAACAGTGACAAATCAGTAAGAACAATAGAAAAATGGGCCTATGACCCAAGTAGGCATCTCACAGAAGAGGAAACCTGCATGCAGAGATTCTCGACTTCGTTAGCAATTAGGGAAAGGCAGTTTAGGACCAACGTGGTGTATAGTTTCATAACATTGGGTTGGCAACAGTGTAAAAATCTGACAATGTCTGCTGTTTAGGAAGGGCGGAAATAACTGGAATGCTTACACACAACTGGTGGGATTGTAAATTGGTACCATAACTTTGGGATTACCTAGTAAAGTTAAAGATGGATGTACACTTTGACCCAGTGATTCTACTCCTGGGTCTTTATCCTGGAGCAGTGCTTCTAAATTGTGTTTTCAGCATCTCACAGGAACTTCTTATAAATGCAAAATTTGGGGCTCACCCTAGACCTATGAATCAGAAGCTTTGGGGATGAGCCAGCTTTCAGTCTTAACAAGCCGTTCAGGTGGTTTAATGCATGCTAAAATTGGCAAACTGCTGCCCCAGAGAAACGCATGTATGTGAGTGCCTGAGGACATGACAAGAATGCTCACAGTTGCACTGTTTGTAAAAGGCAAAAACTGGAAGCAGTGTCCATCCGAGGAGAATGGATAAATTGTATTCCTATAGGAGTGCAACTGAATGGATTTTAGCCACCTGCACCACTGAGGATTATTGTCAGGAATATCATATTGAGGAAAAAAAGCTACTTCCAGAAGAATGCACATAGTATTTTTCCTTTTTTAAAGTTTTGAAACATGTGAAGCAAAAGTCCATACTGTTAGGAATACAGATATGGCAAAGTAATAAAGCAGATTAATTACAAACACATTCAAATTAGTGGGTAGCTCTATTAGAAGAGAGAAGGTGATAGGGATCCCGAAACGGAACTGAAAGATAGGAATTTAATTTTTTTTTTTTTTTTTTGGTGGGGAAGACTCGTCTTGAGCTAACATCTGTTGCCTGTCTCCCTCTGTTTTGTGTGTGGGATGCCTCCACAGCATGGCTGATGAGTGGAGTAGGTTTGTATCTGGGATGCGAAGCTGTGAACCCAGGCTCCTGAAGCTGAGTGTGCAGAATTTTAACTGCTTGGTCATGGGGCTGGCCCCCTGAATTTAATTTTCTTAAACTGTGATCTGTACTCAGGGTTTCTTATGTTATGCTTAGTGCCTCGCACATATTCAAATTATTTTTTGTACCTGCCAAATTTTTAAAAAACATACACTTATGTCTTTTCTTTTTGCGAAGTCTGTCTACACAGGGACTATTCAGTTTGTATGAAAAAGATCTGGTGGGGGTGATGGTGGAGAAGATATGTTCTTGCAGCATTATGGTCTGAAAGTACTTTCAGCAGTAGGGATATCAAACAGAAGATTGTTTTTGATGATGATGATGGTTAATACTTGCTGAGCACTTGCCAGGTGCCAAACACTGGTCTAAGGACATTACGTACTGCGTTTATCCTCAGTTAACTGAGGATTGAGCCTCACAGTGAGCATATGGGGGTTGGTACCACGACTCCTCCTGTTTCCTAGGGGAGGAAAGGTGTGTGTGGATACAGAGGTGAAAACGGTAGAGGCTGGCTGACTCCTAACACTCTGTCAGACCTGGTCAGAGGGAGAGGACAGCCAGACAAGACTGTTATGCCTGAGAGTGTTGGAGTTTCGAGACAAAAAGGAAAAGTCAAAATAGGAATGGGAGTGTGGAAGACTGTGGAGAGGGAAGGCTGTATATACCCGCATTTTTGAAGTTGCTTTCTTTATCTTAGTAGGTTTGTTTCTAAACCAGCGTATATGAGTGTCATTCTAGCAGATGCTGAGTCCCTAAAGCAGAAAAGTAATTGGATTTTGTTTTTAGTTTTAAGGATTGCATCTTCCAGTTCATTAGAAATTGGTAAGATCACACCATAGGATTTGGGAAATCTTACTTCTTTGCTTAGGCAGTTTGGTTGCTAAAAAGGGCACTTTTGGGGACTCTCCCTTTGCCTATTGTTTTCTAGCCTTTGATAATTGTTTTTGTATCATGATTATCTCATATTATGAGGACTATTTCTTAGATACACATTGGTTATATTGTAAACTTTATTTTAAGCCACCCGTAGTATGACAGTCACTCCTTAAAATGAACAAATACAGAAAAAATTAAAAGATGTTCCAGAAGCCATAAGTCAAATGATATGAAACCAAATAGCACTACTGTTTTTTGTTTGGTATTCAATTCAGAGTGCTCAAAATTGTCTAAACCACATGAACTGTCAAGCATTTGTAATTGTGTAATGTCATGCTTTCCAGCAGAGTCAGCCCCTTACTAAGCTGACAGCCAGGAGAGTCCTTCCATAGCAGGGATGTCTGCATTTGAGACACATGTAGTGCTTGTTGGAGATCCGAACATAGGCTTCTTAAAACAAATTTTAAGTACTTCAGCTCTTCTAGTTTCAGATGCATTTTGCTGAAGCTGGATAATCTCAGTCTTAATTGCCAGTGCTTTTCAATGTGTTTCATGTTCCTATTTCTCTTTTATTTTCTCTTATATGCGTTTTTCCCCCCTTTAAACAAAAACACGAAAAGTTTTAAATAAAAACAAGTAAGGTAATAGGAAGCCTAATAGGAAAAAGATATTTATTGTTTGATGCATTTGGAATAATAGCAGTGTAATCATCAAATGTAGCCAAAGCCCAGCATGCTTGTCAGTTACTAAGGATAATGGAAACTTTGTGTTTTAAACCTAGAGCAAGCAACAAACCACTTCTTTCAAAGTGTGTAATTCACTTGTGATTTCTGCTGATCGTGGATTCCGGACCAGAATTTGATGCGTATTATTGGATCAATTATTCTAGAATGAGAAATCACAGTTATAGAAGTTCATATAACTATAAAACCATTAGAATTTAAACTAAGGTGGTAATCTGCTTTTACAAATAGCTTAGACAATTTAGATCATTCGAGGAGAGGTAGTAGGAATTATAGTCTTTCAAAAAATGAGACCAAATGGTTTTCATTAAGAATCTTCAGGGTCTGTAATCTGGTTTTCCATATGGGTGGTGTTTAACACCCTAGGATTTCAGGGTGGGAGGTGGAGGCAGTGTTTGCTAAAAGTGACATTCCTCAGAGTCATTTTGCATGACAGATTGTTGACATCCCTATTGAGTGCACTTTGTTTACTCTCCTTCCTGATTCACCTTTCTTCTCCTTTTTTCCCCTCTTCTCCACACTTCAGCTCTCTGTCTAGTAAATATATGTTAGGTTTATATTATTTTTTTTTGAAGTTAGAAGGGACTTTACTCCAGGGGGTCCCAAATCTGGCTCATCAGAATCACTCAGGGAGCTCTCTGAAACTACAGATCCTTGTCCTTACCCCAGACTCTCTTAATCAGGATCTCTCCATGGGTGGGACCAAGGGATTCATGTTTGGCTGATTAGCTAAACTGATAAATGATTGGTATTGTCTGTGGCTCCCTTGTGTTACAGACGTGGAGGTAGTAAGTCCAGGCATGCTCTTCCAGGGACAGTTGCGTTTCTCAGAAAAGGTTGTCGAAGGTCTTGCAAAGCCTTCATTAATGGTAGAGTGACAAGCGATATGATAATTTTTGGGCATTGGTATGTGGCAGAGATGGCTAGCTGTCCATCTAAATCGGTTCTGTCCTTCCATAAGATACAGTTCTACAGCTCCAGGTTTCACTTTTCAGATTCCCTTGCGGCGAAGCAGGTATGAGTGGAAGTGGTAGATGCCCCTGTCCGGGAGGGGGAAATTTCCCCCTTATTCCTCTTGAGTTCTTGTGGCTGGCCTCATAGTAAAATGAACACAAGACAGATTAAAGAGAAAACTCGAATGTAATGCGTACACGTGGGAGATCCTAAAATTAACGCTCAGAAGTGACCAAAGCAGGCAGCTTTTATACTTTTTACACACAGAAACACTAAATTTGTGAGGATTTGACAGGACAAAGATACTTAGGTTTGGGTGCTTCATTAGTAAGCAATCTAAGCAGAGTTTGGACTTGTGGTGGTAAATTAGTAAAAAAGTAACAAGGTGTGTTTATACAGGCCTCTCCGCCCTGAATTCCACCCCCTCCCAGCCCCACCCTTTTTGCTTGAGGAAGATTGTTCCTGAGCTATCATCTGTGCCAACCTTCCTCTGTTTTATGTGGGATGACGCTGCAGTGTGGCTTGATGAGCGGTGCTAGGTCCGCCCCGGGATCCGGACCTGCAAACCCTGGGCCGCCGAAGCAGAGCACGCCAACTTAACCCTTATGCCGTTGGGTCAGCCTCGTGAGGAAGCTGTTTTTCACATGGGAGATTCGTTTGCTGCTTTCAGGGGGAAATGGAAAGGGTCAAAGTGCAATTTTTGCATCAGCTGCTTCTCAAATAACTAAGTCAAAATAATCAGTGTGCCATTGTAGCATATTTTGGGGGCAGTCTGCCCTGGGTCCCAACACTGCTTTCGAGTCAAGATTGCAAGACTACTGTTTAGTTTATGTCTGACCAGATACTGAAAGTCAAAGGTCAGCAGATGGAAGCAGAGCTGGTTGGGACATGGAGAATTTGTCTCAGAGCACGTCTCGATGATACTTCATCAAGAGTCTGCTGCTTCCAGGCTTGCTTTCTTCAGTCAGCTGAATGCAGGGAACGAGGAAGCTCCAGGGCAGAGCTGCAAGATGGAAGGAGCCAGGATCCCTGAGTCGGCCTGCAACAGACCGCCTGCTGACCAGGAACACCTGCCGTGGAAGTTTACCAGAGCGAGAGAGAGACTTCTGTTGTGCTTTGGCCAGTTGTAAGTGCACGTTTTATACCAGTATGGTATTAGGGCATTATCTTCTTGTTAGATGGATTCTAGCCACTGTATCCAAATCTCAAAGGAAAGGCAGGTTCTGAGTATGTAGAAAATTAGTATTCTGCAGTTTTCCTTCTCCACGTGTATAATTCTGTTATCTGTTCCTCAGAATGTAGACGTGTGATGTGACAGAGTTGGGACGTTTTATTAGGCTGCAGTACTTTCTTAGAGGTGTAATCTGAAGGAGGCTACTACTCATGTGAAAACTGGTGAATGAGGATTTGTGATGCCAACTGTGAAGGTTGCCAGCAGTGGAGGAGAGACTGATCTTCAGAGCACTCTCGTTTAATAATGATCTTAGGGCTAAGAATTATTAGTTTTTATTGATTTCCTAGAATTTATATAATTGAAAAATTAGCAAATGTATAAGGTATGTATGATGTGGCATTTTCCAAACTTAAGTCATTTCCCTACTCCTTCATTGTTTTTGCTGTGTTTTATACCACAGCATTTTATCTCACTCTTGTTTTTTGTTTGTTGTTCTGTTTGTTTGGTAACGTCTGTTGCCAAGCTTCCTTTTTTTGCTTGAGGAAGATTCTCCCTGAGCTAACATCTGTGCCAGTCTTCCTCTATTTTGCATGTGGGATGCTGCCACAGCATGGCCGATGAGTGGTGTAGGTCTGCACCTGGGACCCGAACCCACCAACCTGGGCCACTGAAGTGGAGTGTGCCGAACTTAACCACTACACCACAGGGCCGGCCCCTTTCTCACTTTTTTCTTTTTAAACTTAGCATTGTCATAAGAAGTAATACATGTGGAGTCATAGGTTGGTGTGTTATTTTTTCCTAATATCTATTTGAATAATACATACTTATTTAAAAATCCCAGCATGTGGTAGATAACTTTATTTTAAACGCCACTAGTGATATTTCTATCATACCTGGGAAATGCTGTTCACATAATGAATATTATTTTTTAGGATCTTCAGTGCTTAATCCATAAAATTCTAATAGAAATAGATGCAGTCACAGGAACTAGCGGACGTACTGTGTCTAACAGGGCTTTGGTTACAGCTTTTTCCTATCACAGATTAGTATTCTGTTTGATTAATATCTACATTTGTTTGTGACTGAGGGACAACGAAAACAGTGTATTTAAATAATTTTTGAACAGTGTTAAGCAGGATGTGCTTCTAAAGTTAGTGAGGAATGGGCCTAAGGAAGTGCTAATGACCGTGACATTAAGATACAAAAATCTTGGAAAATACTGATACTTGTGGTAGAGAAAGAATTGGATAATCCCGTGATCCGAGGGTGAAGAAGATAATGAGGCTTGAACGGCCCGGGGAAGCGTTGTTCCCTGCTCAGGTGAGTGTCAGGGCATCGCTGCTGGTGAACAGATGGGAAGGTCTCGAGCCCCTCCTTCCTGACTCTGACCAGCTCATTCCCTAGAGACCATCACAGACAATAAGAGGCTCGTGTGGTTTCTGAGGCAGCGGCTTGGTCAGAATCTAAAATGTTTTGACTACAAATTACTTCTGGGTACCTGCATTAATTTCCTAGGGTGACTGTAACAAGTTGCCACAAACTGGGTGCCTAAAAAAACCATAAATGTCCTCTCCTCCAGCTCTGGAGGCAAGATTCTCAGATCCAGTTGTCGGCAGGGCCGCGTTCCCTGCAGAGACTGCGGGGAGCATCCACTTCACGCCCCTGTGGCTTCTGGTGGCTGAAGCTTCCTCAGCTGGTGGCCACATCCCTCCAATGTGTCTCTGTCCTCACGTCGCCCCCTCTTCTATGTCTGTCTTCTCTTGTGTGTGTCTTATAAGAACAGCTGTCACTGGATTGAGGGCCCACCTGGATCCTACAGGATGATCTCATCTCAAATCTGTAATTTAACTACAACTGCAAAGGCCCTTTTTCCAAATAAGGTAACAGTCACCAATTTCAGGGGTTAGGATGTGGACATATCTTTTGGGGACCACCGTGCAGCCCACTACAGTATTTGAATAATGTCTATGAAGTTTAGGGCTCATTTTATTACATTTCCCATATTTCCCTAATTCTTAGCTGTTTTTCCTCTTATTTCTTTCATTAATAAAAACAAAAACAAAGAATGCATCCCTCTATGTCAGGCATCTGTTGTCACAATAACGAGCATAATAAACCCACTTCAAAACGTAACTTGGGTAGAACAAAAAACCTGTTACTGACCATTTCTGCACAGTCTCGGGGGTAGCTGGCTGCTTGCGCTGGTCTCGGACGGGCTCTGCCGAGCTCTGTTGGGCTCACTCAGGTGTCCGCATTCAGCTGGCTTGTCAGCTGGGTGCTGGCTGGTCTGGAATGTCCTCTAGGGGGAGTGAGGCATCTCTCCTCCACATGGTTCCTGATCCCCCAACAGGCTACACAGACGTGTTCTCATGATCACGACAGAGGGGAAATCAACTCCACAGGCACACACAGCTTCTGAAGGCCTAGGGTCAGAACTGGCACACTGGCACATTTGCCCACTCTGTTGACCAAAGCAGCTCACAAGTCTAGGCCTGTTTCGAAGGGCTGAGTTGGCAGACGCTGCAAGTCACATGGCGAAGGGCACAGAAACCGAGGGATGTGAAATATTGGAGCCTCCGTGCCACCCAGCCACAGCAACTTCCTACACCCAACCAGGAATCTGCCACTTCTAACAGGGTTCATTGAAACTCTTCCAAATGTCATTTCAGTTAAGATAGAGGATTCAAACTTTATTAGCTTTTTAAATACATATTTTGCATCTCATTTGTGAATGGGTTTCTCCTCTAATTCAGCAAAAATATGTTTTAGTTTTCAAACCTTGCTGTACTCACCTTACAAGGCTTGAACAGCTGTATAATGAGCATCTTATTACATTTAAATGATAAAGAAAAACTCAAGTTGCTCTGTAGTCAACATATTCCACATAATAGCCAAATTCCCAAAGAAAATGTAAACTATTGTAAAATATTGAAATAGTCAACAGCATGAGGAACTGTGGTAGAAGCCTTTACTCCAATGAAAAAAAGGACATGCGCTGCACCTGACGTATTTTGTGACACTGTTGTGTCACAACGGTGCAGGATGAATCAGCACAGTGGAGAGTGGTCATCTTGCTACATCTGTTCTAAATAACTTAATACAGATGTGACTGCAAACCACAAAAATCAGTGCCATTCAGCCAAATTTAGTCATACCCTAAGTCAGCTTTGTCGTTCTCAAGCCTTCTGATACGAGAGAATATGGGATGTAGGGAAAGTTGAGAGTTGGAGACAGGAGTCAATTGCATTTAAACTATTTCAACGTTACAAAAAAATCTCTGACCAGTGAACAAACTGCTGGATTTTATCCCAAGGCCCTTAAGGAGTGCAAGCAAGTGTAGGAACCCTGATGGCTGAGCTTCATTAGCTTGATGGAAAATGCTTAAGATCATAGCCTTTATGGATTAATCTAGGATCAGAGTGGCAGCCGCTAAAGGGAATAGTTCCAAATTTGCTTGAAGCAGAGGACCGTCTCTGGGCCTCACTGTCACATAGCTGCAACTGGCTGAAGGATCAATAATACAGATGATGATCCCTGGGAGTAAAGACCACACCCTCCCCCAGGCTTTCATATGATTCCTGAAACAGGGTTTTATCTTCTCTCTCTCTTACTTTCGTGATATTTTAACAATTTTAATAACTGTAATTCATTTAAGAATGTCTAAAGTTAGTTATGATTAGTCTCCTCCCAAGATATACAAGATGACGCATATAATTTATAGGTATTCACTTTGGTTCTTTTCCAAATCTGCCTGGTCCTTACTGAAAGAGTTTTTCTTTTTCTTATTTTCAATTCCTTCTTTTATCTGTTTAATCACTTACACATATTTTATAGTTTATTGATTTGTTTAGTGCTAGCTGTTGCTGCAAAAACGCAATCAGTCTCTGTGCCATATATTCCTTGCAAACAGAAATCAGATCAACAGGTATTTGGGGCTGAGTGGTCTTCCTTGTGCCTATTTGAGTATACATCTTGGATCCTCCTCCTCCAAACCCATACTGTTCTCTCCATTCTGCAAGGTTGAGAATGGAGGATTGTATTTTGGAAGTTTCTATCAAGTAGGCCTGAAAGTGACACATTCCATAGGCCAGAACTTGGTCATATGGCCATAGCCAACCATAAGGGAAACTTGGAGATGTAATGACTCCATCTCTGAATCCGAGAGGAAGATGAAATACATTGAGAGAACAGCTAGCCAGTCTACACCACATAGTCTCCGTCCAATAATTCTATTCTGCTTTTCTTGACAGATTAGTGATGCGATTTGTTTCTGTCTGCTGCTGACATCATGATAGCTTGCTTCCTCTTGTATTTTGTTATTTTAGATTCAAAGTTTCCATTTGGTGCGACTTTATCTCAGAAATCCTGTGTCGTCTGAGTTCCCAGACCTCATAAGTAAAGCAATACAAATATGAGCACAAAATTCCATGTGAATGGAAGCATGTGGTCATAAAATGTTAGGGGGAAAATTTTTTTTCTACCCTTTCCACAGCCAGAACTGAAGCAGACAATATTTCTTTTCATTTCCTATTGAAGGTGGGCAT